ATGCCCTGTTTGCTATGGCTTTGGTGGTTTCATAACTTATTTTTATTTTATTGCCTCTTAATTTCATTTTAACTACTTCTATTAATAAAATAAAAAGGATCAAACAACCAGAAAAATTAAGAAAAAAAGATCTGCTATCCCACCACACAGACAACTACTCTTAACATTTTTAACATTTATAGTTCACATAACTGAGATCTTGCTATACATGCTATTTTTTTCTAAATCAACTCCTTTAGTTATTTTCTCCCTTTTTTCTCTCCCTCTCCCTATTTTAGACCAACAAGAAAATGAACATTTACATTTAGTGTGCAACATTTTCCACCTTACAAAATCGTCTAAACACATACAGACATAAAGGTTTCGGAGTTATTTGCTTCATACAAATACTTGGTATATCCCTCTTCATCTTGCTCTTCTCAAATATTACGGCAACACCGTCACATCACTGATTATTTTTCCTACCTTTAACAGCTTTGCTGAGATATAATTCACATACCATACAATTCACCCATTGAAAATGTACAAGTCAATGGTTTACAGCATATTCACAGACGTACAACTATCAACACAGTCAATTTTAGAACATTTTCATCATCTCAGAAAGAAATCCATGCCCTTTAGCTACCACCCCCTTACCCCTGCTACTGGCCTAAGACAATAATCTGTTTTCTACCTCTATCTGCTGTTCTAGGAGAGGAACTACTGGGTCATATGGCAACTCTATGTAAAATCATTGGAAGAAATGCCTCATGGTCTTCCAAAGAAGCTACATCCATTTACATTCCCATGAGTGTATGAGGATCCCAACTTCTTAACATCCTTGCCTACACTTATTATCTAACTTTTTCATTCAAGTCATCCCAGTGGTGTAAAGTGGTATCTCACTGTGGTTTTGATTTCATTTTCCTGATAGCTAATAACGTCAAGCATCTTTTCATGTGCTTATTGGCCACTTGTTTATCTTTGAGAAATTTCTATTCAGCTCCTTTGCCTGTTTTTAAACTGAGTTGTCTTTTTATTACCGAGTTATAAGAGTGTTTATACATTCTGACTATAAGTGTCTTGTTACATACAACTTGCAAATATTTTCTCCAATTCTGTGTATTGTCTTTTCACATTCTTGATGGCATCCTTTGGAGCACAAAAAATTTAATTTTCAAGTTCAATTTACCTCTTGTTTGCTTTGTTGCTCCTGCTTTTGGTGTCATATATAAGAATCCTTCACCTATTCCAAGGTCATAAAGATTTACCCCTATGTTTTCTTCTGATGCACATATATACTGATTTCTATTAGGTCTATGCCTAGACATGAAATTGGTGGATCACAGAGCACATACAGATACAGTTTTAGGCAAATGCTGCCAAAGAATTTTCCAAAGTGGCTGTACCAATTTTCAAACCCACTTGAAATGTATAAAGGTTCCAAATGCTCTACATTCTTGTCAACACTTTGTATTTCAGATTTTTTAATTAACACCATTCTGGTGGGTATGTAGTGGTATCATATTATAGTTTTAATTTACAGTTTTCTGAAAATTATGTATGAGTACTTTTTAACCTTGGCCATCTGAACAATTCATTTTCTAAAAAGCCTGTTCCAGTTTTTCGCCCATTTGTTTTAAAGCTGGGTTGTCTGAATTCTTTTGTATTGATTTGCATACTTTTAAATATGCTCTATATACAAGTCCTCTGACAGATATAAGTATTGCAAACACCTCTTCCAGTGTGCTACTTGCCTTTTTTTCCTCTTAATAATATTCTTTAATGAATAGATGTTCTTATTTAACGAAATACAGTCTTCTCTGGTTAGTACTTTTTGCATCCTGGTTTAAAAAGCCTTTGCCTCCAAGAGAGTCATACAGATAATTTTCCATGTCTTGTTTTAGAAATTTTCATATTAAATCTATAGCTCCTTCAAGGAGCAAAGAATCTCTATTTACAGAACTATTTCTGATAATGGGGGGAGAAAAGAAAGCTTCACAACTGATTTCATGAAGTCAGAGTAATTTTGAATTCAAAATACACCCATATAAACCTCACTGATAAATGTAGATCTTAAAGAACTCTAAGACACCAGCAAGTCAAATTCAGCAGTGTGGGTGAAAAAATGCACCACAGCTAAATATGGTTTAACTCAGGAATGCAAAGATGGTTCAACAGGAGATAATCTATTAATGTAATACATCCTATTAACAGATTAATGGAAAAGATGATTATCTCTACCTGCACAGAAAAAGCACCTGAAGAATTCAACACTTTTATGTTTTTAAAAAACAAAACAAAACAAAACAAAAACTCTTAGAAAACTAGTATGACAAAGCATATCTACCAAAAGTCTTAAGTTATTTATCAAAACTAATATTAAGGCATTAGAATTAATGATGAAACGTTAAAGGTACTCCTATTAAAATCAGGAATGTGGCTGAACACGGTGGCTCACACCTGTAATCCCGCACTTTGGGAGGCCAACGCGGGCGGATCATGAGGTCAGGAGATCGAGACCATCCTGGCTAACATGGTAAAACCGTCTCTACTAAAAAAACAAAAAATTAGCTGAGTGTGGTGGCACGGGCCGGTAGTTCCAGCTACTTGGGAGGCTGAGACAGGAGAATTGCCTAAACCCAGGAGGCAGAGGTTGCAGCGAGCTGAGATCACACCACTGCACTCCAGCCTAGGCAACAGAGTGAGACTTCATCTCAATTCAGAATCATGTATCTCAAGGGAGCCCTGACTACTGCCTGGCAATCATACTCTCCCTCTTCTATTCACTTTTTTACTTTTTGACAAATGGCTATGTCATGTATTATTCCTTCTCAAACCTCTAATACTTATTCCCATTCTTCCTTACTCTCAGATGATGGGCTTGGTCTTATACACAAAGGTAAAGTGAAACACTCATGAGAATGTTCTCAAGCTACCACCATGATGTGTCTATCCATATACTTGTCTTTTCTCCTATTTCTATAGTAACTCTTGCTACTCCTGGTAAAGCAAAGGCTAATCCTTTTGCTTGTACAAGATCAGGTGTCAGCAAACCACAGTCCACACTGCTTATGCCTGCTTTCATTTGACAACAGCAAAGCTGAGTAGCAGTAATGGATTGTATTGCCCAAAATGCCTAAAATACTATCTAACCTTCAAAGAAAAAGTCTGCTGACCTCTAAACTAGATCATATCTCCTCTCCATATAATCATGAACGCTGCTGGTTGCAAGTGCCCACTAAATTCAGTGCAGAAGAAATAAAGTAAAATCCCTACAAGATACATAAAATATCAGGGACATATCAGATATACTGAAGACAAAAGATCTTAGGGCCAGATCACGTATGAAGCATGAAGATTTTGAATGGCATAAGACTTTTCAACAACCACTTCAAACTAGAAAATCAAGCCAGACATGGTGGCTCACACCTGTAATCCCAGTACTCTGAGAGGCCAAGGTAGGTGGCTCACTTGAGTCAGGAGTTTGAGACTCGTCTGGCCAACATGGTGAAATGCCATCTCTACTAAAAATACAAAAATTAGCCTGGTGTAGTGGCGTACGCTTGTAATCCCAGCTACCTGGGAGGCTGAGGCAGGAGGATCACTTGAACCCAGGAGGCGGAGGGTGTACTGAGCCAAGATTACATCACTGCACTCCAGCCTGGGGGACAGAGGAGACTGTCTCAAAAACACAAAAACCAAAACAACTAGAAAATTATAATCATCTGTTAAATTTGGAGAGAAAATGATTTTTACCTTGGAATTCTATACCTATCCCTGCCACATTATCAACCAGGTGTCAAGGCGGAAGGAAAATATTTTCAGCAATACACACATCTCAAAAATTTTACCTCTTCATATACTCTTTCTTGAAAGTTACCAAAGGATGCATTTCACTAAAACAAAGGAGTAAATCAAGAAAGTGGAGGACATGGATCCAGAGATCACAGGCTCCAACACAGAAAAATGGCAAAAAGAATTCTCAGAATCAGCTGGTGCAGTGGCTCACGCCTGCAATCCCAGCACTCTGGGAGCCCGAGGTGGGTGAATCACTTGAGGTTGGGAGTTCAAGACCAGCCTGACCAACATGGAGAAACCTGTCTCTACTAAAAATACAAAACTAGCCAGGTGTGGTGGCGCTAGCCTGTAACCCCAGCTACTTGTGAGGCTGAGGCAGGAGAATTGCTTGAACCCGGGAAGGGGAGGTTGTGGTGAGCTGAGATCATGCCATTGCACTCCAGCCTGGGCAACAAGAGCAAAACTCTGCCTCCAAAAAAAAAAAAAAAAAAAAAAGAATTCTCAGAATCATGATGAAGGGAAGTCACAAGTATAGCTACACAGAATAAGTGGTGGGCAAAGTGCAGATTTGAGCAAGAAGATAAGAGAGCTCAAGAAGAATTTCATTTTTTTTTAAAAAACTGAGTGGTCAATTAATTACCTGATGTGTCTGATGATACTGAGACACTTTGTAGAAAAAAAATCAGAGACAAATAGGAAACTAAGAAATAAAAAGAAAAAAATCAACTCCAAGAAATATAATCATAGTACACTGTAAGGTTCCACTGTAAACATATTTACAAAGTCATAATAATGTAAACAAACAATGATTTAATCAAAAGCATGACTATATTGGGAAGACAGTGGGAAAGAAATTTCAAGGTGGCACAAGAATCCTAAAGCACAGACTCATCTACCACAGAAGAAAGCCAATAGATAACATCTGAAATTGAAAAACAGGGCCAGGCATGGTGGCTCACACCTGTAATCCCTGCACTTAGGGAGGTCAGGGAGAGCAGGTCAAGAGTTGAGGTCAGGAGTTCGCAGCCTGGCCAACATGGTGAAACCCCATCTCTACTAAAAATACAAAAATTAGCCAGGCGTGGTGGCACATGCCTGTAATCCCAGCTACCTGGGAAGCTGAGGCAGGAGAATCAGCTGAACCCAAGAAGCGGAGGCTGCAGTATGCCAAGATCATGCCACTGCACTTCAGCCTGGGCGACAGAGCAATACCCCATCTCAAAAAATAAATAAATGAAACTGAAAAACAAACAGTAAAAGTATATCATTTTTAAATTATGTAAATAGATATCAGAAGAAGCACCTATGGATGCTCTGAGAGCAGGACACAGGAGGGAAAGTCATAAAGAGATGAGACAGAGGACTGGAGTTTTCATTACAGGTTATCTGAGTACCTGGCTTGGGGCCAGAAAAATTCAGATTTCAAATCTTGTTGAATTTCAGATTTTGTCAGATTTTGGAAGACTTGCATTGCCAGTTGGGCATCCCAAATCCAAATATTTAAAACTCAAAATGCTCCAATGAACATTTTCTTTGAGAGTCATGCTGGCACTCAAAAAGTGCCATTTAACATTTTGGGTTTCAGATTTTCAGATTCGGGATGCTCAACCTGTATAACCCTTGTAGTACAATTTTCTTTTTAACTGCACAGCTGTATAAGTCAAATATTAATTTTTTTAAAAAAGGGAACAAAACCAGGGGTCCTTTGTTATTCATTACAATTAATATCCCACAAATATCTGAGCATCACGATGTGTCAGATACTTTTCTAGGTGCTAGGAAGACAACAGTGGACAAAATAAGCCCTTGCTCTCATGAAGCTTACAATCAGAGAGGGAGGCAGATAATAAACTAATGTATGTTCTAATGTCAGATAAAGCAATGATGTAAAAATAAATAAATAAAGCAAGGCAAAGGCACAGAGTACGATGGGGGATGCTATTTAATAGGGTTTTCAGAAAAGACTTCTTCCAGAACAACAAAAGGAAATCAAACTAAAGAAAATCTGTTCTGGAAAAAAAAAAAGGTCATGTAAGTGAAATAATAGAAAGCTATCAATTAAATTCAAGATGAGAGATTCAAGTCTTTTACACTCCAAAATAATGTATTATTCAAAAGCCAGAACCAAAAGTTTCTCTGTAATGAAATAAACTGCCAAGCCTCTTCAAGCTAAGTCATATGAACACTGCTATATCCACATACCTGTATGTCTATATAGATCCTTCCCATATCCCTAACTAGGTACTTAGTAAAGTAACTATGTAAATTTATATTCAAACTTTTTTCTTTCCATAGAATAGGTAAATGTAACACATTTTAAATTCCAGTGTTTTATTTCTATTATGTAGTTAAAAGTTTTCCTAAATCAAAAGCATTAAATCAAAAAGATTCCACATTAATTCCATGGTACTAAAATTTATCACACCCAATCTTTATTCTCTCACTAAAAAGGAAACAACAGGAAATTTAAGACACATTTAAAGAAACAATTTATAGGGTAATGCAATACATTCATTTTCCTCTCCAAGGAACCTCAGGCTGGGGTAGTTTCAAGCTATTTGAATTATCTTTCATTGAAAATTAACTTAAAAAAAAAGTAGTCAGATTAAAGTGACAATTTTATTCCAAATACAGGCATTACACAGTATCTCATATTCAAAAAATGGATACATTTCAACATATCTTATTCTCAAACCGTGTATCATTAAAATTAAAAGTAAACCCAACTATGTGTCTATTTTACATAGCAAAAAAAAAAAAAAAAAGCATGCTTTGGGAGAAAATAAATGGGTTTAAAGTTTAACTCACAAAAGAAAACAAATCTGATTAAATAAATTTCAATTAATAGTTTAAGGTTTAAAAGTTATTTTAAAAATTTCTGGAAAACCAGATTGTCAAGGAATTGGTTCACTCATAGTCAGCCAGAAAGAAAACGGTGATATTTTAAAATTTTAGACCAAAAAAAAATTTAGATTCCCTTATAAATAAGTGCCAAGAGAGAATATTTTCAGCAAACATTTCATTTAACTACATAAACCAAAAGAATAAGGCTGTCTAACCACATGTAAACTATGCATCATCTGACTTCAGGTAGAATATTTATCTTTGGTATACTTGGTAACCAGAAACCCAAAGTATATAAACATAGGCATATTTTAAAAACATTTGTCAATGTTTTTGTTCTCCAGGCAATAATTCCCACTATCCTCAGAAAGAGAAAAACAATATCCTTAATCAAAAAGTTATCAGAGGAGTTTCTACTTCTTAAACTTTTAAACTAACATTTTTGCCCACTTACTATTAAACTCCATCAGGGCACAGACCTGTCTCTTCCCCTGTTGCGTCCCCAACCTCTAGGGGACTAACTGGCACCAAGTAGGTACCCAATAAATACGTGCAGAATGAACTGAGCCTCTGGAAAAAGCTTAAGTGTTTTAAGTTGCAATAGGACAATTTCACCTATATATCGATCATTCACTACACTCAACTCTAATGACGTAATAAAAAGACTCGTACCAGGTATTTAAAAACACACACACAAATATATTACTCACATATGTATCTGACTCACAAAGCCAGATATTTTCTCTCAGGAAAATTTGTTGTATTCTTTCGAGTATTACATATAAATATTAGAAAAGCATGTTGTGTCCTGACAAATGCAAGTGTTATCTTCAAATTTATGTTGCAATCTGAAAAAAATCTAGGCAAACTAAACAGTATTTCCAGGGTCCTGCCCCAAAGTATTACTAAAAGTCAAATTCCTTAATTCAATGAAAAGTGAAATAAGGCACAGTGGGGCTCACGCCTGTAGTCCCAGCTCCTTGGGAGCCTGAGGCGGGAGGATCCCTTGAGCTCAGGAGTTTGAGACTAGCCTCAGCCAAATAAGAAGAATCCACCTTAAAAGAAAAAAAAAAGTGGAATATAATGGAAAAAACGTACATTTTACCGTTTAAAAACTATGCTGAATTTTAAAAAGAAAAAATGAACTAGGCTTAAAATACACTGAAATTATTTATCCCAAATGGCATTAATGCCTTTACATCTTGATATTTGGATCTGCCTAAAAAGACCTTTGAAGCTACATGATAAACTTCATGCCTACAAAGCTTGAGTTAGAGGTTATCTTTGTTAAAATAATACTCTTTGGATGTTTAGTTTTGGAAGTTTCCTCATAATTCTAAAGTAAGATATTTAGCAGTAAGAGTAATACACTTATATGTACGACTCTATAGCACTTGTTCAATAGCACTTGTACAAGCATAATTATCTTGAGTGGAACAGGCTTTATAATGAGCAAGCTATGATCTGCCTAACAGCAATACTCTGCAAACACGGACTGAAAAGTTTCCTAACATTCTGATGGTCATCTTCAAAGAAACTTGAACAGGAATCGATCTAATGGTCGATGAGACAGAAAAATACCCAAGACAACTCACAAACACTGGTAAGAAAACAAGGCTCTCTATAGCAATTAAAGTGTTGGGGAAAAAAAATCCAGGGAGCATAAACGATAAAGCTCAATTAACTGCTGCCTGTAGGTTTCTACTTTATGGTCTTAAATACACACTAGGCATTAGGTATTTCTTTTAGAGCTTTTTTTTTTCTTTTTAACAGAAATTTAGTATTTCAATTGCCCCTCCTCCACAGCTAACATCAGTGCCCTTTCTTCCTCCTCCCTTACCCCTCCCAGCTCAAACAAATTAACATTTGTACTAGGTACCTCCTATCAGCTCGCAGCTTCTTCCCAAACACGCCCACGTACACTGAAACTGGCCTGCGTCTACAAAACACACAGCTACAGGAAAAGAGCTTGGGGGGGGGGAGCTGAGGAGGGGGAATAATCGCTCCGCACAGGTTTACGGCTATTTTCCAGAAATTAGCTCCTCGCTCATGGCTCGCGTTTCTTCCAAATCACCTCCAAAGCACGGTGTTTATGAGCCTACCTAATCCGATACTGCAATGGAATTCCGGATATTTGCAGATAGATCTCCCGGCTTTGCAAGTGTTTGATGAGATACGTTCGGAATCTCCTTTTTTCTAGAGCCCGGTTCCTGGCTGTACAGCAAGCCGACCTGAGGCTGCGGCCCCTGCCCCACACCCGGGCCGCGCGATCGGCCCGAGGCCAGCGCAGGACGCAGCCCCTCCGGGGCCGGGGCTGGCGGGGCAGCTTGGGCTGCGGGCCGCTCTGCAACAGGTCACCCTGACCGCGAGTCCGCGGGTTCGCGGGCGGCCAACTCTGCGGCCAGGCTTCTGGGCGCAGCCGCTGGGGCCAGGGGAGGGGGTGTGGCCCGGCTTCGGCTGGTCCTGGCTCCGAGGTCCGGGATCCGGCTCACCTGAAGGGAGGCTGACGCGCCGCTGGGCGTCAGAACAGCGCGGGTGGAGGCTGGGGGCTTCCGCCACCCAAGAGGGAGAGCGAGGCGGGTTCAAGGGGTCGCCGCGCCCCCGGCTTCAGGACGGCGCCCCCAAGCGGGGACCCCACGACCGCTCCGATTCTGAGAACCCGCGGCCGAGGGAGGCGCGCCCCCCAGCGCCCCTCTACCTCAGCCCCAGCTCCGCAACCCCCTCCCTGCGCGCAGGGAGAGCAGCCCCGGGGCCCGCGGCCGGCAGAGCCACACTCCGCAGCGCCGCCGCCGCCGCCATTCCCCGCGCCGCCCGGGGGGCGCCGCGCACCCACCCTCCCTCGCTCCCCCGCATCGCCCCGCGGCCTGAGCCCACCGACCTGTGCAGCCGCGGCCGTCGCCTCAGAGGATGGAAAGACGACGCCGGCCTCACGCTTCGCCGCCACGGCCGCCGCCTAGAGTAACGCTCGCCGACCCGAACAGTCACCGTCTCTCATTCAGCGCCCGCAGCAGCCGCCGCCGCCGCTGCCGCCGCTCGGGGGAGGAGAGTGAGCTGGAACCACCCCGTCCGCGCCAGGGGTGGGGGAAGAGAGCGGACCTGCCGAGGGCGCGCGCCAAGCGGGCGGGGCGGAGCCGCGCGCGCGCGCGCACCAACGGAGCGCGCTCGCGGGGCCCGTGAGCGCTGCAGCCGTCAGGGTCTTAACCTCGCGCTTCCCGCCCGCAGCTTTTCGGCCCAGCGGAGCCCAACTGCCGCCGGGGATCGGTGTCCGCAGCGCGCTCAGCCAGCCGCAACCCCCACTGCCCGGCGCCTGCTGAAAGAAGCGGCTCCCACCGGCCAAAGAAGGGGGCGGGAAGGGGTGGGAGGATGGACAGGTGGGGCGTCCGCCACCGCCTGGCCACCCGCTCCCGGCACGCGGCCCTCTGTGAAATCCGCAGTGATGTCTGTGGCCTTCAGCGCCCGGCTCTTCACCTTTAAGGCCAAAGTCTGGAAGCACTTGGCCCAAAGATCAAATATTCAGCCCACGCCAGCGGTGTTTTTATAAGTCACTGCGGACAAATGAGGGGGCTCCAGATGTGGCGAGTCACCCCACTGCCGTAGATAGGGTCATAAATTATGGTGATCAGTATCCTCACACGTTAAGATTCGGGAGGTGTTAGAAGTAGGCCTTTGTAGATGTCACGCAGGGTCCTACCCTTGACTGAAGGGGCAAATGACAGAAATTGGGCGGAAAGGTGTTTCAGAGAGTGTACTAAATGGATGGCCTACTTAAAACTAGCACCATTTGATGCAGTGACTGTTAACGGAAGGTTTTAAGTGAGCCGCCTTTGTATCTGCTGTCATTAGACCATTTGGAAATGGATAATTATTTGATGATCTGCAGTTCTTTCTCTAGGCAATGTGCAGTAGAATGTGGAAAGAATACTATGTACCAGCATTAAGTGTAAAACATGAAAGGACCAATAATTCACTATTCCCATTTGGTTTCTTTCCTCCCTTTAATAACCGCTAAACAGAACTGATTAATCTTGAACGTTGAAGAATGCTAATTATTTCCTCCTTTGATTGCCTTGTGTCATAGCCCTTTTACTTTAGTTGGGGAAGCAAGAATGCCCTTCAACCCCCTTCTCTCAAATAGGGTTACTTCTTTAAAGCACCCCAACGCAAAGTTAAGTCAAAAAGAGAAACAGCAAGGATAGGCAACAAAGTTCATAGTGTTTCATTTTTATTCCATTTTACTTTCAAAGAAAGTCTTGAATCATGACGAAATCACTAGCAGAAGTAGAGCAATCAAAAGAAGAAAAAAAGCGTTCCCCCGCCACCAATATTTCAAATGACAAGAGTCCAAAAAAGAAAAGAAAAAGGAAGATGATTGGTAAAAAGGAGGGAAATGCATTATGTATACAGAAAGTATTCCCGTAGATGTTAGTTGCTTCAAGTCCCAAATCAACAACAACAAACTGAATTAGCACTTGGAGGAAAAACCCCTTCCAGTTATTGAGTTGGGTAAATGTTTAGTCTTTTAAAAGTGTTACTAAGAGATTAAGGAAAATGTTGTTGGCTATATGCCAACAATAATACATACAACATACATACCATTATCACACATAATTAAGTGCTCTTGAGAAATAGGAAAACTGAGGAATGGAACTCTTATGTTGTTCAATGTCATACAATTACTTGAAACTTGAATTAGGGTTTCATAGATATAAATAAGCCAGGGTCCCTACATCTGCCAATAATTTTCACAGCTTATTGTAAAAGCAGTGAAGTTTTCACTTGGACTTTGAAAAGAAAAAACCATGTGACTCATGAGCAAGGCCATGGATATACTAAATTCTTATGCCTACTGAATTCGAGTTTGAATAATTAGCCCAAATCTGTTTCTCACGTTGATAACTTATAAAACAATACTTTTATTAACCTTAAGAGTTGTGTTAAGTTCAAATTTGTGAACTTGGTAAGATTAAGAATTTGTATATAGGCCGGGCATGGTGGCTCACACTTGTAATCCCAACACTTTGGGAGGCTGAGGCGGGCGGATCACCTGAGGTCAGGAGTTCGAGACCAGCCTGACCAACATGGTGAAGCTGGTCTCTACTAAAAATACAAAAAAATTAGCCGGGCTTGGTGGTTGGCGCCTGTAATTCCAGCTATTCAGGAGGCTGAGGCAGGGGAATCACTTGAACCCGGGAGGCAGAGGTTGCAGTGAGCCAAGATTGCGCCACTGCACTCCAGCCTGGGCAACAGACAGAGGTCCTACCTCAAAAGAAAAAAAGAAGTTGTATATAAAAATATAGAAAAAGGCCGGGCGCAGTGGCTCAAGCCTGTAATCCCAGCACTTTGGGAGGCCAAGACGGGCGGATCACGAGGTCAGGAGATCAAGACCATCCTGGCTAACACGGTGAAACCCCGTCTCTACTAAAAAATACAAAAAAACTAGCCGGGCAAGGTGGCAGGCGCCTGTAGTCCCAGCTACTCGGGAGGCTGAGGCAGGAGAATGGCGTAAATCCAGGAGGCGGCGCTTGAAGTGAGCTGAGATCCGGCCACTGCACTCCAGCCTGGGCGACAGAGCGAGACTCCGTCTCAAAAAATATATATATATAGAAAAAAATATAGAAAAAAGTTTGTCCTCAATCTCTTTTATAAAATAAGTGTCCCTTCCCATTCATTGATAAATGAAAGCAGTGGCTTTTTACACCAAATTTTCTTTACCAGAGCACTTTTATCACAATTAAATTCTGTGCGTTGCTTTATGGATTCCAATTGCTTTTGCCAAAATACAAGAAATATGCAAAGTCTTAGTATAACAAAAAGTACTAATGTATAAAATAGAAATGCCATTATGTAAAATAGAAATCAATAAGAATTGAATATGCTTAAAAGTCATTTCAGAGGAATCACCATTATGTAATAGTTTTATTACTATCCATCAAAATTATTTCCAAGGGGCAAGCCAAGGAACTAATTTAGATATAGAACAAATAGTTCAAAGAGACCACCACTGCAATAAACCAATCAACAAGCAACACAATTCATTACAGCTGTCAAAACAAAATCAAACTGGCATGGTAAGAAAGCTTATTTTTTCAGTAATACCTAATTCTATTACAACCAAAAGAATTTCAGTAATAACATATACCTTTGTTATTTCTCTAACCTTTAATCTCTTTTTTCAAATATATATAGTTGCTGGACATTTTGAAGAAATGTGTTGGTTGTGTTTACGATATCACAATTTAAAATATAGTCAAAGTTAGCATTCCCAAAATTCACCTTGTGGGAAAGGACGCGTAAGGGAACTTCCAAGGGCTAGACAGACATTTTCCAGAAAACTGACACTACGGTAGAAGGAGAGCCTGCCGTAATTCCCAATCAAGAGAGATGCGTCGCAAGTCTCCAGATACCAACAACAAAGATAATCAACAGTCCGTTCAAATCTGAGCAGCATATTAATTTTACAGTTTACATTTACAGTGAAGTTGCATCTCACAGGGCAACTCTATGTGGGGTGTTGAGCAGCAGGGATTTATTTGCTTAATAATCATTAATGTTTTCCTAGAATAATTCTTCAAAAGGCCGGAAAGTATATAAATGTTTGCATACACTTATGCTTTTCAATATTAACTTTAAAGATAGTTTTAGTAGGCCGGGCGCGGTGACTCACGCCTGTAATCCCAGCACTTTGGGAGGCCAAGGCGGGCAGATCACGAGGTCAGGAGATTGAGACCATCCTGGCTAACACAGTGAAACCCTGTCTCTACTAAAAATACAAAAAAAAAAAAAAAAATTAACTGGGCGTGGTGGTGGGCGCCTGTAGTCCCAGTTACTCGGATAATCGCTTGAACCTGGGAGGCAGAGCTTTGCAGTGAGCCAAGATCGTGCCACTGCACTCCAGCCTGGGCGACAGAGCAAGACTCCGTCTCAAAAAAAAAAAAAAAGATAGTTTTAGTAATGACTTGTTTATCTGACAGTATTAGGAAAGGGGGCAGTAAGGGATTGGATATAATTAGATATTCTAAATAACAGATTTTCATCTTGAAGTACTAGAAACAATTTAAACCATTTTTATTTATTTTTCCTGAAATATCACCAACTCTGTCTTAAAGTAATAAAACACAGTACAGTTGTCTTGGTATCCACAGGAACTTCCAGGATACCCAAATCCATGGATGTTCAAGTCCCTGATATAAAATGGCAGAGTAGGCCAGGTGCAGTGGCTCATGCCTGTAATCCTAGCACTTTGAGAGGCCGAGGTGGGGAGATCAAGAGGTCAAGAAATCGAGACCAGCCTGGCCAACATGGTGAAACTCTGCCTCTACTAAAAATACAAAAATTAGCTGGGCATGGTAGCGGGCACCTATAGTCCCAGCTACTGGGGAGGCTGAGGCAGGAGAATCGCTTGAACCCAGGAGGCAGACGTTGCAGTGAGCCGAGATCGCACCACCGCACTCCAGCCTGGCAACAGAGCGAGACTCTGTCTCAAAAATAAATAAATAAATAAAATGGCAGAGTTATTTGCATATAACCTATGCATATCCTCCCATATACTTCAAATCAGCTCTAGATTACTTATAATCTCGAATACAATGTAAATGCTGTGTAAATCATTGTTAAACCATATTTTTAAATTTATATTATTTTTTATTGTTGCATTGTTATTTTTAATTTTTTTCCCTAATATTTTCCATCTATGGATGTGGAACCCATTGACATGGAAGGCCAACTGTATAGCTGAACCTATTTCTGATAGCCTAGAGTTACCTCAGGAATAGGTAAAGATAAAAACAAAGCTATAGTACCAAGATATCTTCAGGAGCCAACAAGTACTGTACTTGGTACTCTTCACCATACGCTAAGTAATCACAGCCTTCTATGTTCCTGCATTCTTCTGAGTCTAATGGATTTGGTGGCCCTCATAATTGATCTTTCTGCTGTGCCTTCTTGTTCTTGCCTCTGTTGCTACAGACTAGCTCTGCACACACATTTCACACACACACACCTCCCCTTGAATTGTCTTATGTTAGAGTGGGCTGGGAAACTAAATAACCAATGTTTAAAAATGCATATAAGGCCAGGCACGGTGGGTCACGCCCGTAATCCCAGCACTTTGGGAGGCCAAGGTGGGCGGATCACCTGAGGTCAGGAGTTTGAGACCAGCCTGGCCAACATGATGAAATCGTCTCTACTAAAAATACAAAAAATTAGCCAGGCAAGGTGGTGGGCGCCTGTAATCCCAGCTACTCAGGAGGCTGATGCAGGAGAATCAGTTGAACTCGAGAAGTGGAGGTTGCAGTCAGCCGAGATCTTGCCACTGCACTCTAGCGTGGGCAACAAAAGCAAAACTCCATCTCAAAATATATAAATAAATAAGCATATAAAATAAGAAAAGGCTAAAACAACTCTGATATTTTGGGAGCATTTACTTAGTGTAAAGACCTTTCACTTGCTTTGATATTTTCATCTGTATTTTGGATCATTACATTTACCAGATAACTTTTTTTCCAGTTAAGTGAATTACTACTATATTCTACTTCCTTTATAACATTTTTAGGCATTATTCTTTACATTTAATGAATGAAAGGAAAGGATTTTGGACGAGTGTTCATCTCTATAGTTTTCTTTTTATATATTCTGCATGTTAAAATAGGTTAGAAATTTTTTTAAAAACAGGAATTCATAAATGCATACCAATAATTAATTGATAAAACAAATGAAGCAAAAGGAAATACTCTTGCTTATGGTAGAGTGTTGAGAGATTGTTGAAGTTAGAAAATCATCATTTTGCAACCAGTTAGGGCAAAGATTGGGTAAGGCAAAAACCATCTTATAGCTAAACATAGGAAGACATGTTGATGAGGAACAAGATATTTGCATGATCTTACAGTATTTTCCCATAGACTTCTTACTAGTTGCAAGGAAAGGAGTAATTATACACTGGATAAATTGGACAAAACCCTCACCAGGTGATCAAAATTAACATCACTGATGAGGGACAGATGGACATCATTTGCCTCCAGATGTGATTCCCCGAAGACACAGCATCTAATGAGGAAATGAGGAATCCAATGAGGAAATACCAGACAAATCCCAAGTGAGGAACGTTTTGTTTTGTTTTTTAAAAGGGGTAGGGTGCTGTATCCTTCAAAGATGTCACTGTCATAAAAGACAAAGGCTGTGAAAATATTCCAGCTGAAGAGCCATGACAGCTAAACCTAATATGAGATACTAGACTGGATTCTTTCCTGGAGGAGGAAGAAAATGCTATATAGGACACTATTCAGTTAATTAGAAAACTGATGGTAGACTGATTAGATAAAAATATTTCATCAATGTTAAAGTCACTGAAACTGGTAACTGTGCTGTGGTTATGTCTCTATTCTTAGATAATATATACTAAAGTATTTCAGAATAAAGGGCCAGGACGTAGGTATGGTTCTAAAAAAAAAATACACACATATATAGTGACAGAGAAAACAGAAATGATAAAAAGGTAAAATGTTAATAATAGGCGACTCTGGGTAAACAGTAGATATTCTTTGCAGTCTTTCTATAATTTTGAAATTAGTTCAAAATAGAACGGTTTATTTAAGGTTACAGTTTTAAAGAAGCAGGAGGAGCAGAAGTAAGCAATCCATAGACTATAACATCAGAATAATTTTAAATGACCACCTTACTGCAAGATCCCATATGCTTTCTGAAGTTGTTGACTGCCTCCATGAAATTGCCTCATCTTTCAGGTTAAACTTAGAGAGACAAGATGTCTTATAATTGAGGAGGCATCTTATTCACCTTTTCATTTTATAAATAAGGGAACTGA